CAAAAAGGGCAAAGCCACTGGTGTTTCACAGCAAGCTGTCCGAACTACCACTGCAGCAGGGAGCTGAGCCGTGGGAAGCCACTCTCCTCCTCAGGGCAGCAGTTCTCCTCCTGGGCAGCTGGTTTTGAGCAGAGCAGGTGGCCACACATAAACCAGGACAGGTGCAAAATGGGAGGAAAGGAGAAAACTTTGCAGAGAGGAATGCCTGTGTTGGAAATACAAACGCTTCTCCTTTTCCCCGGGGCGTGCTCCTTTTCTCCAGGCCTCATCCCAGTCTTCCTGTGGAAAATCCAGTCTCCAATCGAAGGTGTCTCTCCTGCAGAGCAGGAGGTTGGTTGTAATGGTAACTCCTTCCCAGGGAGCAGGGCAGTGCCTGGGAAGAGTGGATGCTTGACAAAGCCTCCGTGAGGGGGTGGAGAGGAGAGGGCAGCTCAGCCCCTGGGACCGCAGCTGGTTTTGAGCAGAGCAGGTGGACACACATAAACCAGGACAGGTGCAAAATGGGAGGGTTTTTGCAGGAAAGGAGAAAACTTTGCAGAGAGGAATGCCTGTGTTGGAAATACAAACGCTTCTCCTTTTCCCCGGGGCGTGCTCCTTTTCTCCAGGCCTCATCCCAGTCTTCCTGTGGAAAATCCAGTCTCCAACCGAAGGTGTCTCTCCTGCAGAGCAGGAGGTTGGTTGTAATGGTAACTCCTTCCCAGGGGGCAGGGCAGTGCCTGGGAAGAGTGGATGCTTGACAAAGCCTCCGTGAGGTGATGGAGAGGAGAGGGCAGCTCGGCCCCTGGGACCGTTCTGTTCCGGTTTTGTCTGGGAGATGGCACATGGCACAGTTCAGATCACAGGAGTAAACACAAAAGCAGAAGAAAGAGTCAGTGTCCTGCACCAATGTTGTCAGCACTGTGACTCCTGTGCATGGCTGGGAGCATCTGAAAGGTTGCCAGGGCTGCAGGATTTTAGCCCGATTTAGCTGTGAGTTACAGTGTGTTGGAGGCAATAGGCTGGTACCAACTGTTTCTGTCTGTGTGTGGAAGGACAGACTAGACCACCCCTGAACTTCTCTGCCTCCACAGAGGCATCACTGGCTTTAACTGAAGTGAACTTAAAAGCCAGCTAATTTTCCATCCCATGAATAATTGAACCATGAGATGCATTATCACAGGCCACACCTGAGGACACAAATTTAGCAGCATTCAGAACGGATTCAGGCGTTTGTAAGAACAGCAAAACTACACAAAGCTATCAGCAAAGGATGGCTAAGAATTTGAAAGACTCAGTCAATCTTCCAACACCAGATTTGGTCAGATCTCTGTTAAAAATCAAAAGCTGCCAGTCACCAGGGATAAGTTCTCCCCATACCTGTCTGCATCACATCAGCCTTTACTGAGGCTGGAGGCTGCAGGGTCCCTTCAAGCAGCTGGTTTTCCTTGTTGCCCATTAAACAGGCCATTACCTGGATGCAGACAAATCTCATTTTATAAACACTAAAACTGCATTTTTACACCCATAATATCACACTGAAATCAAAGGAAATTGCCACTTTCTCGTTAAGATGTTTTATACCACAAATACTCAGCATTAATTGAAGAGCTGAAAGAAAACATGTTCAGAAGGTGCATGAGCATCACAGATCGAGTGTTGAAGGAAAACACATGACTTAAAGGAGCTCTTATGGGCAGTAATATTTGCATTTTCCCAACACTTCCCGTTTTGGCGGTGCAAATGCCACACAAGCCCCAGCAGTGCAGCCTGTGCGGCAGCCCGAGGGACACGGGGCAGGCTTCCCGAGCTGGTGCCAGCACAGCCCCAGCAGTGCCACCCGGCCCCCGGCCCGGCCGCTGGCATCCAGCCTCGGCTGCTGGCAGGGGGAGACCAAACGGAAGAGCCGCTAGGTGGAAGTCTTGCATCTCTCCTGCTGGGCCCCGGGGAGGGGCTTCCACAGCTCCTGCAAATCGGAGATTTTTTCAGGAGCCTGGTTTCGACACAGAAATTACCGTGTCATTCGTTACCCTTCGGGTTCACTGCCAGGATTAAAGTGCACAGAGCTGGCCTGCAGGAGGGCTGGAAGGCTGATGCCTCCAGCTGCCACACATCCCTGGTCTTCTCCAAACATTAGACCCTTTACACTATTTTTATTTCCACACCACATTCCCGGTTTGTGTGCAGCGTTGAAGAGCCCTGGACTCTCCCTGAACATTTGGCATTAGCCACCGGCCTGCGAAGAGGGGAGTGGGGAACTGGCCCAGTCCTGAGGGGTGAGGTGACAGGGCTCTGGGAGTGGGGAACTGGCCCAGTCCTCAGGGGTGAGGTGACAGGGCTGTGGGAAACACACCTGCTGTGGGGCAGGTGAGAGTCACCTCCAATGCCTCAATGACACCACAAGATTACTCTCAAAAAAACAATTCTAAAAGCCAGTTTGTCTCTCTACAGAGGCAGAAATCCAGGCAGTGCCAAATGCTATTCCCTGTGTCTCTTTCACTGCAGCCCAAAAGCAGCCATTTTACATCAGTTTCAGCCTCTAAACTTAGCTATTAATGTACCTCTGAGTGATACTCTGCTGTTCACAGGACCTAATATTGCTTTTGCCCATGGAACGTTCCCAGTTCCCTCAAAGACATTCATTTTCATCAGACTTTAGGTCAGACACTGTGACAGCTCACCAACAGAGGCAGGTGGGTTTGTTTTGACAGAGCAGGGCAAATCACAGGGCAACGCTTCTGCTCCCTGACTGGAGTCAGGGAAACAAATAACAGCTTCTGTGAGGATCCACACATATAGGAATTGGCAGAAAGACGAAATAACTTCTGTAGGAAAGAAGAAAAGACACATAAAAGAAGAAAAAAAAAAACAACTACAGAGTTTGGGTCAAAGAACTGCCTCTACCTGCATGCTGCTGCCCTGTGAAAACCGAATGTCTTTTCTCCATCTCTCAGGAGAAACTCGTGTCTCCTGGTGTGAGGGGTCCCGAGGATGGCACAAGAGCACGTCCCCAAAGTCCTGGCTGTGCCCAGCTGCTCTGAAATGCCACAGCAGAGATGACCAAGGGGCTGGGGAGCTGGGCCGGTGCAGGTGAAGTGGGATTGCAAACAAAGCAGGGAGAAGCAGAGAAGGGGTTGACGATGCAGAAGAGCCAGTTCTGTGTGCCAGAGGGCACAGAGAGGTCTGTGCACTGGTGGGCTGCCGTGTGCCACAGGAGCCCAGCTCCTTGCCCCTGAGTCCCCGACACCGCTGGCTCCGCGTTTGCCGTGCTCTCCGACTTCCCCCTGCTGCACCCGGGGCTTTTACACCCAGGGCAGTGTTCACACACTCCTCTCCTCTGCCTAGATGCTGCTTCCATGAAACGTGTTGGAATTGCATGTCTCTGAGAGGTACTGTCCCTCTGTCATAACGGCTGGAATTGGCCAAGAAGTCCCACAGTTATTAAGGAAAAATTGGCCACCCGTGCAATGACATGAGCTCTGTTTTCTTTGGAAGCCAGGCCCTGAGCTGGGGCTGGCAGGAAGGAGCTCCAGCACCATGCTGCCATCCACAGCCACCTTCCCTTTTTGCTCCTAACAGGAGGTGACAAGTAAGCAGAGCACGTTTTTAACTGTCATGCCTCCTCAGATTTAAAAGATGTGGGGTGCTTTTAACTTCATGATCCATTATGGACTTCTCAATGTGGGGAATAGCTTATTCCTCCAGATCTGTCCTTCCCAGTTGCCTTCACATAGTTCATATTAGCTTGTCCAAGCATCTGCAAGACTTTTGGAGCAGTAAGCCACTTCTTGTGCAGATGAATGTTACTTGCCACGTAGGAATGCTTCAGCCTTGCCTGGCCACCTCCACCCCACCGACCAGCAGCCAAGGAGCAGGCAGGGGCAGACTAAGGCAACCATCCCGCTTGCAGTACTTGAGATGACTTGTCCTGATGAAGTCCTGATGTCTCCACGTTGCATGGCCTGTTTCACCTCAAGGGAGCAGAGTGCTTCAGGGGATTGGCAACCTCATTTATTTGCAGACTTAATTATCTAAAGAAAGATTTCTGCTTCAAGAACTCTCCTGGCTTGCTTAAAAGACAGCTGATATTCCTGTGGTGGTTTAGCTTCAGCTGCAAATCTCCATAGGTGCCTCCTGAAAGAGACTGCAGAGTGACAGCACGGACCACAGGATGGCTGGAGCCCCCACACAGTTATCTGTAGGGATGATTGCTCCAATCCTGGTACCAAAGTCAGCAGGTCTTTGGTCAGCTCCAGAGTTCAGTGCTCATGTGACTCCAGGGCAGTCAGTGGCCTTTTTTTACCTTTGTTATCATTTTATGTAACCCTCTTGAATCACAACCAGCTGCTATGTCACAAGCCTTTTGGGTTTGCTCACCCCTCAAGTGCCTCCTGGGCATTAAAGATACACCCAGAGCAACAATACCACAGTCCTACTTGCACCCTCTTGCCAAAGCATCTCCTATTTGGTGTAATATCTTTGAAGACTGCAGGCTTCTCAGGTCTCACACCTATCTCAGGAGCTTACAGGAGCCCATCAGAGAGGACAAATTGAGCTCTGGGACTGAGGATGGCTCACAGGCAGCTGAGCAACAAGCACTCCCTGGCTCACCACAGAGGATGCAGATATGGGAAGGAGAGTGGGAGCTGCATAAGTGCTACTTAAACCACAGCTATAAAATACAAGCAGGACGTAAACGATAAAGGTGCCTTGCACACAGTAATGAGCTTTGCCCCTTGCGACCAGCTGACAATCAGAATAAATGTGTTTTCCACAAGAATACGAATGCTTAGGAGCAATGAACAGTTTGATGACAAATTACAGCCTATTTGCAGAGAATTTGTGAATTTATATGTACAAAATTAGTTGATTAAATTACGTGGAATGATTCACTGGAACAGCCCTAGGCTAAAGGATTATTTTCAGAATCAAAGCTATACATCTGCTTCAGACCCATGCACAGTGCACACAGCTCATGTGCAGAAGCTCCTAATTGCTTGAGCTGTTGTCTCTTTCTTCTAGGTGGGCGAAGCAGTCCTTGAAAATGCTCGTCTCATGCTGCACACTGAGAACATCCAAGCCTGTGCTGAAGACTTCAAAGACAGGTAGTGTTGTGGTGGCACCTAGCCGGCCACTGTCTTTGACCCTTGGCCTTGGCAAAGGCTTGCTCTGTCGGGGAGTGAAGTGGGGGGGTTAAAGCCCCAGCCCTGAATGAGGGTAGGCACAGGGATGATGTCCACAGCCAGGCAAGAAAGACCCCCTGACTGGTTTTCACCAGGGTCTGGCCAGCCTCAGGTGGGAACCGATCAGGGACTCTCCAGCAGGTGCCCCCACCTCCCACATCAACACCTCTCCTGCCCCCAGGCTAAGCACCTCAGAGCTGACTGCTGGCAGTGGGGCTGGGGAGGTCTATCTATGCAGTAGATGCTCTGTGTGGGGATTCCATTTACTGGAAGGGCTCCCTGATGTTTACAGTGGTGGTGGGGTGGGATCCAGGCAGAAGGAGGATCATGAGGCTTTCTCTGGGGAATTGCTGTGTGATTGGACTGGTCACCTGGCTTGTTCCTTCCCCCATGGCTTGGTTCCTGAGTCAGCTCGCTCCCTTCTTCGCACCACGTGCTGTGAGGGAAGGTATTAATCTGTCCATCCCTCCAGGGACTGGCCACCTCGGATCTGATCTCTTGGGTGTGATTTAATACCAGAGGGAGGGACCTGGCTATTGTTTTCCCTGTTAATGACAATATCCTTCTTTGGTCAATAGAGCAGGCTTGTTCTTTGCAGTTGGATATTCAACCACCTGACTCGGGAGAGGGTTTATAACAGCAAAATAATTACGATGCTAATACCATTTTGGCAAATTTTGAAGATGCATGGTAACAAAAACAGCACTAATGAAGTCACTTAAGCTGTTCTTTGATCTACAGACATTGATCTCTCACTGGGAGGTCGGTAAGAAGTCACTCTCATTTTACAGCTGAACAGAGACAAAGCCACCTGTAGTCACAGTGACATTCCAGAGGTAGGGAGAGCCCTGGGCCTGGGCAGGAATCCTGCTGCACTGATAACCCTAGCTCAGCCTGCCTTATCACCCCAGTTAATGACAGGGTACTTCAGGCAGTTCAGTTCAGGTGCAGCCAGACAAGGTGAGAGCAAAGTCTGTCTTCTGTGTTTCTGTGCCTCTGTCTGGGGCACATCAGCTAATTAGCACAAATGGTGTCATTTTTTAAAAAGCAGTTTTTTCTTGCTGAGCTGTGCTGGATTAAGGTTTTTTTCTCTCTGCAGATATGAAAATGAGCAGCCATTCAGAAAGGCAGTGGAAGATGAAATTAATTCCCTATATAAAGTGATCGATGATGCTAATTTAACAAAAATGGACCTGGAGAGTCAGATAGAGAGCATGAAAGAAGAACTAACTTTGCTGTCAAAGAATCATGAAGAAGTAAGTCCAGGCTCGAGGCACTGAGAGCCTGCCTGTGCCTATTTCAGCTGCTTGGTGCAAAGCAAGCACGAAAAAGCTCCACCTGCCATGGCTGGGTGGAGGGATTCTCCTGAAACCTGCTCTGGTTTCTCTCTTCTCTGCTAAAGCATTAACCTTCAAGGCACCATCAAATTACTTACATTTAAGTTCTATCTCTTTTTCATCTGATAAGTATGGCATGAAAAAGATGTCATTGCTCTGTGTCTTGCTAGCCACCACACAATGGTCATGGGGTTGCAGCCACATATGTGGACACATCAACAGTGAGCTGATTCTCAGCTGGAGATGTAAAGAGAAAATGTGTGTGCAGGGAAAAAGCTCTGGTCCTGCTGCACATCTGATATGTATGGCATGAAAAATATATCCTTGCTCTGTATCTTGCTAGCCACCACACGATGGTCATGGGGTTGCAGCCACGTATGTGGACACATCAACAGCGAGCTCTGATTCTCAGCTGGAGATGTAAAGAGAAAATGTGTGTGCAGGGAAAAAGCTCTGGTCCTGCTGCACTAACACCAAGCCTTAGTCTCCTGAAAACCTCCTGCTTGGCTTAGCAAGCTGCTCCCTGCCCAAAACAGAGTCTCTCCTGAGCAACACACCACTGTTTGTGTGAAGGTGCCTTACTCCATTCAGCAGGGGGTTCAGGATTGGACCCAAGTCAGCATCCTCCTGATGGGGCTTGTATATGCAGCTACTACTAATCCCACAGAAAGTAATTGTGCTGGTGCCTCAAAAATAAGAGAGAGCTTGAACTGAGGTGGCTCGCGTGAGGTAGGATAATGCCTCGTTACCATTCCCTATGGGTTATTTCTCCAACCACAAGATTTCAGCAGCGTTGGCAGGCACAGGGACACTTGGGTTGCCAAGAAGTTGCTCCATCCCCTCCCTGCTTTCACGAGTCTAATCCCAAGGCTGGCATTTTGCAGAAAATAATCAGTGGCTTCAGCACCACTGCACAGCAAGAGAAAGGTGGAAGTTGTAGGCAAGAGGGAGAGCAGAAGGTTGCCAGGCATACGGCAGACACCCTCCAGAGCTCGGTGCTGTCCAGGGGCTGCTGCTCTGTGCCCGTGTGCGGGGCACCGCGGGGTCCGGCAGCGCCTGCGCTCCACGGCTGGGTGGAGGGTGCTCCTTGCTGCACCCACTGGGGTGATCTGAGCACTCCCAGAGCCACCTCAGCCCAGACTGGGCCTTCCTGTGGCAGCAGCACCAGGGGAAGCTGCTCAGGAGAAGTCACAGAGTCAAGGCTGGCAGCAGCTATTGCAATTACTCCAGCTGGGATCCAGCACAATGAAGTCCCAAGGACTTCTATGAACTAATTCAAGCCTTTCTTCCCTCCAGTGCCCCCACTAGGAAATCCACATTAAGGCCTTTTGAAGCTTTTGTGAACTGGGAATGGGCATAATTTGAGGCTTTCATTCTTGCAGGTTCACAGGTCATGTAATTCCCATGCTTTTGTTTCCAGTGTGGGCACTGTCAGGGTGACAATGTCACTGTCATTTTGTATTACAAACACAATTCCCAGGTGCTTTTACACCACTGTTTTTTTTTTGCTTATGCCAATAGCACATATAAACACATTGCTGTAAAAGGGTTGTGGTGCCCAACAGTTCAGATCCATGTGCTGATCTCATTTATTCTTGTGTTCCTGAACACAGTGTGCAACTGCTGTGCTGCCTCTCAGTGTGTAACTCTAGACACACTAGTTTTCTCCTGCTGGTTTGCACAGCTCGATGCATTCCAGCAGCAGAGAGGGAAGAGCAGGGTTTGATTTGCTGTAAGCTGTTAGTTCCTTGGCCCAAAGCCCATGTTGCAGCCTTGCTGGCAATAGAGCTGTGGTGTGTTTGGGTCCCAGGCATGCAGCATGTGTGTGTCAGGCTCTGGCTGCTGGAGAAACCTGCCCGTGAGAGGGCAGTGCCTTGGTGCAGGGCTTCTGTCCCTTCTGCCAAGGAGGAATCCCCTTCCAGACCCATGCATCTGCAGCAGCTCCCCAGGCACGAGCCAGGCAAATGCACATCTGAACAGGAAACCCTCCGGTGCACTGAGTCACTAATGTAGAGACATCTTTAAGGACCAAATTTAATTACTCTCTGTGTTTGTGGCTCTTCCTTGAGCCTCTCTGAAGCTACCATGCAATCGTCCAGTTCACTTTCTTTGATGTCTGCTGTTTCTGTTCAAGGATGTGAAGGTACTATACAAGCAGCTTGCCGGATCTCAGCTGGAAGAACTTGATGTTCCCCTGGGAAGTGGCCTGGACGACATACTGGAAAAAATCAGAATCCACTGGGAGAGAGACATTGAAAAGACTCGTGCTGAGACGGGCGCCCTGCTCCGTACCAAGGTGAGCACTCTGTCAGCCCCCCAGCACTGCAGGACTGGGCACGGGCACAGCATCTCATCCTCTGCAGGACCCTGGAGGGTTGGGTGGTTTTTTCTTGAAACAAAAGGATGGTAAAAACCTAAAGGATTTTGGTCTGAGTCCATGGGAAAATGCACTCTTAAATATCAGTGGCTTTCTTGAGAAGCACAGAGTGAAGAAATAACTGGTACTGAAATGTACTTTTGCACCTCAGAGCATTTCATTCACAATGACCACGGCCTGGGGTTCACATGATGGCACCAAAAACTAAAAATTATTTCTGGTGTATGGTCCCAGACTTTGTAAAAACTTGATCTTATTTTTAAAATAAAAGAAGGCATAATCAGAAAAGTAGGACAGGTCAAGATGAATTTTCAGAGTGGAATGGAAGTCTATTGCATAGTTTAACTTTAGCATCGACCAGAAGTAATGTAGGTTTTGACTGAAGAATTGCATTTGCTAGAGAGCCCAGAGCTCTGGACTGAAAACCTTGAGCACAGCCTCATTAAAAAGTACAGAAAATGTATTTTTACTAAGGTACCTTTTCCTTCACTTATTTTCAAGAAGCCTGAACTAAATACATATAAAGACCCACAAACCAGAAGTGCAGGAAATAGCATAAGAATATCTTAGCTCAATTAACAGAAGTTATTTTTCTGACCTCTGTGATATGACTTGGTCTCTGATTCATAGAATGCTGTGTGAAAAATCAAGGTGTGAATACCTCTGAAATCCAACAGATTTAAAACAACGTTTTAAAAAATATTATAGTATAGCTACAAAGTGAAGAATTACAGCAATGGTTTCCTTTTATAGGTCATTTTAAAGGTACTAGTAGGAATGCTAAACAACTTGTGCCGACGTAGATAAAATGCACACACTTGTATGTACAGGGTGTTTTACAGTAAATGCATAGAACACGTGGTAAATTGACACTGGGAATTCTCCAGGCCTGCTCCACCGAGGGATTTAACACGCCCTAATGCGGCCCGAGGTGGCCGCTGTCACCCCCGGCGTGGCGCGGGCGGGCCGGGCCGTGCTGTGCTGGGGGGCTGTGACGGCAGGCGCCATCTTTTGGCAGCAGCAGGCTGAGACGCCGGCCGCCGTGCGGAGCCAGGAGGAGGAGCTGGTGGAGGGCCTCAGGACCGAGTTCCACGAAACCGCCTGCAAAATCCAGAGCTTGCAAGCAGAAACCGAGTCTTTGAGAACCTTGGTAAATAGTGGGGGGGCTCCGGGGGATAGTCTCTGTGACCTCAACTCGCCTTCTGAGGAAGACATCCCCCTCTGGGGATGCAGACTGAATAATAAAGTCTGTTTTCCAGTGGACACTGTTTTCAGAGATGCCAGACATTTCTGGGCTCATCTTGACTGACGTGGTGCACTCACTGTACCACATTGGACAACCAGACCCCAAATTTCAATCATCAGTGTCTTCATACTGAGTAACAATTTCAGTGAGATTGGTGGGTGGGTAGTACTCGACAACATGCAGAATATCTGTATTCTACAGATTATCATATATTACAAATACCTTGTAACCAAAGTAGTTCAACCCTTGTAATGATAATACACATTTTTCAAAGTATCTATAGAAAGTCATTCTCAAAATATGACATCTCCACTGAAGCACATTCAGTGGGATGCTGGCCCAGCTTGACTAAAGGTCCCTCAGGAGCGTTCGCACCCTGACTGTTTCACTGTCTGCTGTCCTGCCCGTACAGAAGAGGGGTCTGGAGAACTCTTTATACGACGCCAAGCACTGGCACGACATTGAACTGCAGAACCTCGGCTCTGTCATTTCCAAGCTGGAGGCAGAGATGGGAGAAATCAAAGTAGAGACCGAGCAGCAGCAGCGGGACCGCGAGAACCTGCTGAGCAGCAAGCAGCAGCTGGAGAAGGACATCGCTGCCTACCACTGCCTGCTGGACGGCGAGCAGGGCAGGTACCTGTCCCACAGAGAGTGTGGGAGCTGCACAGCATGCTCCTGGGCTCTGGGGCTGCTGGGAGAGGACTCGAATGTTTCATAGGGCTGGGTGAGAGGTGGTGAGGTTTGGGGGAGCTTCCAAAGAGGAAGAGCACCCCAAATCCATCCGTGCAGAGATTCCTGGTGTATTGGAGATGGCTGTGTCCAGCACTGCTGCAGAAGGATGAGGTTTAGGAATACACCAGGTCTACAAGTTCAACTTGCCTAAAGATTTGAGCTTTGAGATTAAAAAGCTATTACAGCATCAGTGGCTGCAGAGCAGCTGTGGTGTTCCATCCCTGGGTTACGTATGGAAGCTGTGATCCTGGGGAAGCTCCTTTGGAAGTGCAGGAGTTCCCCCTGAAGTCCAAGAGCAGACTCTGTCCCACAGACTGCACCTTCTGTGGAGAAACATAGTGCAGGCTCCTCAGCTCTGTCCTCTGGGAATGACCCGTAAATGCCTATACAGTGGTTAGGTTGCTTGGCTGGGCTTAAGATCCTTAGTCACCATTAGTCACGGAACCTCTGAGAACCTGATAAACAGATTTTGATTTGCTCTTCTGCTCTAGTCAGGGAGAGTTGTTTTATAATCAGATCCTGTTGAAGTTGATGAGATTTCACCAGATGAACTGAGGATATAGCACTTGGTTCAGCAATTTTCCTATTTGTAGTAGCAACCAATTTTATTTTATTTTTGTTTCACTTCCAGCTGATTATGACACTCCCAGCCCTCAGAAGTCCACTGCCACTGAAGCAAAAGCTGTCACTGCCAGTTATGTTCGTGGAAGCTAAAACCCATCACCGCAGCCTGCTTTATTCTGTTTGACTCAACAATCAAAGTAGGTTGTAGCTTGAACAACTTTATTAGACCCTCTTCTTGTAATTGCTTTGCTTACAGATTTCAATTTACTCATGTTGTTAAAATTATAACAAAAATAAAGAATATCAGGTTTTTTGTTTGACTTTTCTTTCCTTCCAGTATTTTTCATGATAGCTGAAGGGGGCTGGAATAAGAACACAGGCCCTCCACTTCCCAGCAAGTAAACTCTTTCTTTTCATAGAACAAATACATGGAGCCTGGCCTAGGCTCCCAGGGTGCACGACACACTCGGGAGAGGCCTAACTCAGGTAACACTGAAGCAGTTAGTGTGCTGTTAATCCATGGCATCAGGTTTGCACCTCAGCAGCCAGCACGAGCATCCCTGCAGTACTGAACACGGCTTTGGACTGAGCTCCTCTGGGAGAGCTGGGGGTGCAGCAGAGCAGCAGCAGTTCTGCCTGCAGTCCAGGTCACCTCCTGTCAGAGTCCCAGCCAGGGAACCCCTCTGTGCAAATGGGATACTTTTTGATACATTGATAGATTTAGATATTTGGGGTTTATGTGCTTGGCTCTTTCTTGATATCAACATCCCTTAAGGCAGGTTGGCCAAAGCCCTTTAGACAGGCACTTTATCACATCAGTGTGTGGGTGGCCCCAGGTAGTTTTGTCACTCTGGCAATACCATGATGGAAAAGATTTGCCACCTTTCCCTTCTGACTTCTGGAGGGGCTGGCACTGCAGGGGGCTGGCACTGCAGGGGCTG